CAAATTTTACGGTGATACGTTGACTTTTAAATAGTCTCCTTTTTTTTTTAACTTAGTAAGAACATGTTACCAAGTTTAAAAATGAGGGAGTAGAGTTGAGAAGGCAGCAATAATGACAGCTGATACCTTGAAACTTGTCTTTCCCTGACCCTGGAAATCATGTAAAGATGAAATAGGCTGGGTACAGTTGAAATAAATAGATATGTATGATGTGCAGCTGTATCAGATTAAATCTCAGTGATTTTGATAAAAGTAAGAAGCCCTCTTTTTGACTGTGGAAGAATTGCTTTTGTGCCCGTGAAGGGCTTCGTTTCATTCCTGAGGCCTGTGTGTCCTCGCCAGGGTTGAGACACATCTCTCCTCCTCATTCTGTATTTTGGTTTGGAAACACCAATACAAGTGTATCACTGCCACAGGATCGTGATTAGCATGTGCTCCAAGATGAAGACCTTTTGATAAAAGCCATCACATTGACAGTGATGAATAAAGTGGCTTTGATAAACAGTGATGATAAACAGTGGCTTTGAAAAACATGGTTCCTACACTGTTGCTCAAAAAAGTGTCTCTGGTGGGGAAGTTGCCCTGAAGAGTTTCGAGGAGATGTGTCATGGGAAATGCAAGAGGAAGCCAGGGACACAGGCTCAAGCCATTTAGAGTTTCACAGGAAACTCTACCCTGTGCTCCTCCTGCTTTTTTCCCGGCTGATTGTTAGGTCTCTAACCATGGACTTATAATGGGTTATCATTCATGGCCCAAATGAATGGGTTTTCTTAACAATGATGCCCTTGTTTCGAGGGTTACTTGTGTACAAAGGACAGCCCATAAATAGATGCACTTGTCTTTCTGAGGTAAAATATAAGTTAGGCGAGAGTACAGTTGTCATGACACTGGTTAGAAATTTTCCTGTTTTATAAAAATCAGTGTATTCCAGTTGCTTCACTGTAGTTAAGCACGTGGGTTCAATGTCATATGAAAGAATTTTTGCTTGGAAGTACATCAGTCTTTTCTTTCCCCATCAGTGTTATCACTGATGTCTATCAGAGAGTTTAGCAAAATATACTATTTATTTGGTATGAGTTAAACTTTCATAGCTTGACCTCATTCATAAAGGTTTCTTATTTGCCTGTCTGCAGGAAGCTTCTGAGAAATGGAGCTATAGCTACCACAGAATTTTTGTAGATGACTGTTTTTCATAACATATCCATGTGCTCTTTCTTCACATCATTTTGAATGAATGGGGATTTGAAATAGTACTAGCTGAAGACAGTACTTTCCTCTCAGCCAGATGTCTGTATCGAGGTAGAACCTTAAATGGTAGGGAGAACTCTTGTGCATTGGAACTGCTGCTTCCCTGCGTGAGGGTATCCACTGGCCCTGTGCCTCTATGGGCCCTTGAAGCTACACTGCAGGGGACCGCGGGGGACCACAGCTGCCCACAGCCTCACTGTTCTAGATGTTGACTGGGCAGCAACATTTACTGTTGTTCTTCTTCCAGGACACAAAGAAGAGCAGAACATTGCTGGTGGAAGAAAAGATTTCAGAGTTGTTCATTTTGATTCTCTAGTGCCTGTATTTTGATGCCAGTCCCCTCAAAATGCTATATTATTTCCCAAATTGTTAAAGATTTCTGCTTCCAACTTTCCTTTGATCTTGATTTTCAGAATTAACCATCTTGTCCATTCAAATTGTTTACATTTCTGCTTTTGTTGATGTTAATTATTCCTCCGGTTGCAGTTTAATTAATAAGAGATTGCATCTCATGCATTCCATCTCTCAGAATATTGCTTCAAAAAACTAACCATCTAAGCTAACGCTTAAAGCTTTACTCCCAAGAGCATATTTCTAGTGATATGGAATTTTAGCAATCAGATATGGTCATTAAATGCAGAAAGATCCAGCCTTCATGATACAGTTTTATAATTGTATATAATTGCACCATTCATCTTGGTAGAATTTCTAATGAGCTGTATGTAAACAAGTATATTTAAAAATTGTGATAGAAATCTTCTCATGGCCAAATGTTCCCCCAACATTTAGCAATTCTAATTACATGGATAGATTCCATATATGAGTAAACAGAAATTAGCCCACCACTCCTTGTCCAGCTGATTTTTATCCATGCATTTCTATGGCATGCAGTTAATTCTCTACAAAGGTTTACAGCCTCCTGTAAATAACCTGGGGAAGTACTGAGTGGGGACCTTGTGCCTTTCTTGCTGTTTCACGTCATGTTTCAAGTGCATAAGTGAATTTATAGAAAAATATCTGGAGTAATAACACTGCAGGCAGTGGCAGCGGGAGAGAGTAGCTCTCTAGGACTGGCATTTGGGATGCAGTTGCTCTTGGCAACTGCGTGGTAAGTTCTGTCTGTATTTGGGGAGCTGTTTGTCTCAGTGGTTCTTTTAACTCTCTCTAGCTCTTGTGACCTTCCTGGATGGTTTACCTCGTTTCAGTTTACCTCTGCAATCCTAATTGCAGAGAATTTTATCAGAGAGAAGAACAATATGAAAGTAGGAAGCTAGATGCAGGAGTTTCCTGAAATTTGTGTATGACAGCTGAGAAGTTTCCCATAATCCATGGTTTGTCAAGAGCACTACAGGTCAAATGTGTTTGAAGTCCTCACTACTGCAGCTCTCAGGAGTATGGTTGAAGAACTGAGCATCTTCAAATAAAATAAAATGTAGAAGGATTCCTCAGTAAAAAAATCAAGGCACATGTAAATCCTGCTTAAAATTTGTCCTAATTTTTTCTTGTTTAATCTTATGAGATGAGTTATACAGAATCTAGAAACACCCCCCCCCTTTTTTTTTTGCTTTTTGAAGCAGTGAACATCTTTTCATTTAGAATGAAGATGCAGCAAAGTTTATGGTATCCAAGGAGCTGATAATCTAACACACCTCTTTTAGTACCTGTCCACCTACATTCATTTGCTCTTTGCTGTTACCTCACATTAAATGCTTTGTAACAGATTTGAGATAGGTACACAAATGCTAGCTCCTGTAGTAATTGGTTCAGATTTTAAATCTCTAGATTTAAAATGATGGAGATCAATTGGGGAGAAGATACTATCACTTATGCATTGTGTGTTCTCTGTAAGTAATGATAGAAAATTATCAAGCAAACAGATTTTGTGAGCCTCTAAGAAACTGCTTCTTCTCAGAGTCTAGTATTTTCATATTGCCAAGCTGTCCTTTTAATAGAAATGTTACTCATAATTTAAAACGGCTGCAGAGCATAAACTTTTGTAGCTTTGTATTTTTGGACCGACTGTGGAAACAGGGTGACAAGGAAATATGCACGTGATTTGTCTCAGTGAAGATGGTGCAGAAAGTCTTGCTGAGGACTCTTGTACATTTGATAGCCTGAGAATTTTTGTTTGTTTGTGCTTTACAATCTTATAGAGAGATGACTCAAAACACTTGCAAAGCTAATATATACATACAAATTTCCAAAAATCTGTACAAGAAAATACAGCAATTTCCCAATAATACTGTTTGATGCAGACCTTTAGAAAATGACACATTCTTCTTTGATTTCCAAAAGGTGATATTAAAAAAATTATTGACATAAAACACAATCTGATCTTAGGACAGTTGCACAGTGTGGACTTCAATTGTAGAATTATTTTGAATCTCTAGCATAAATGAAAAATATATTTCTATTAAGGTGAACAACTCATTAAGTTGAAAATTAATTTTAAAAAGGTAAATGTAGAGATGGCTCAGGCATATTAGATTAATATTTTCTATGCTGATGTTTATGGAAAACTTCATGAAGATTTTGTAGTAAAAGAACTGTGGTTATAAGTTTAACCATGACCTCTTGATTTGCTCTGATGTAGACTCTGTTATTCCTATTTTTCTTCATTTTTGCTTTTCATACAGCTAACCCCTCATTTTATCTCACTTCAGACTGTCTCCAGCAATAGTTATGAGAGTAATCAGGACACGCATGCAGTATCCTTATTTTCCATATGAGAACGAGTAGACACTAACTAATATGTAGTGTATAAGAAGCAAGACTGCCATTGGAATTCATAGAATCCACAAAGCAAGTTTCTATTTTTCTAGGGAGAGTGACAGCTTAAATGTAGAAGGTAAACAGTTAATGTTTTGAGTGCTGAAATTGTTAGGACAAATGGTTTTCCTTTTGTCAACATGGTCCTTTAGAGTCCTAGAAATTTAGACATTAATGCATATTAATTATATATACACACACACACACATATATATACATGCGTGTGTGCATGCATGCTAAATCACTTCAGTTGTGTTTGACTCTTTGCGACCCTGTGGATCATAGCCCTCCAGGCTCCTCTGTCCCTAGGGTTCTCCAGGCAAGAATACAATACCGGAGTGGGTTGCCTTGCCCACCTCCAGGGGATCTTCCCAACCCAGGGATGGAACCTCATCTCCTGCATTGACAGGTGGGTTCTTTACTATTAGTGCCACCTGGGAAGCCCATATGAAGTAGGTATTTGGGGTATACCCCAAAGCAGCCCATTCACTTCAGGATTTTCTGTTAGTCTCCTGTTTTATCTGAACCTTCAGGAACATTTTACCTCCTATCCATTGTCCTTGTTTAAATATATAAATAATGACTTCATTTATTAAACATTAAATGACTTTAATTTCACCCCAAACAGTGGAGTAAATTTGGTGCTCTCAGATGATTACTCTGCTTATCTTGTGACTTTGAGAACCACCTTACCTCTCTTGGTTGACTATGACCTAGCTGATCTTTATGCATCCTTCCAGCTTTAATATTTTTTGGCTCCATGACCCAGAACCACTATATTTCTTCTCTTTTTTTCCTTCTATTTTTATTTGTTGTCCTTACTATGATTCATCAGAAGTCACCAACAACAGTTACCCATGCCTGATTCCAGGAAATTGTTCTTTTCTTTTGGGGGGTACTTTCCGTCCATCTGCATTTATTGCCCAATGTTTTGATCTTTCAGAGATGACCCAGGATAAATATATTCTATGTTCCTCGCACAGGTTGCTTCTCTGGGAGTCACTACCTTCACTTTATGCGCTCTGTGTATAGACCGCTTCCGGGCGGCCACCAACGTCCAGATGTACTATGAAATGATAGAAAACTGTTCTTCCACAACTGCCAAACTTGCTGTGATATGGGTGGGCGCTCTCCTGCTAGCCCTGCCGGAAGTGGTGCTCCGCCAGTTAAGTAAGGAGGACCTGGGCTTGAGCGGACGAGTGCCCGCCGAGCGCTGCGTCATCAAGATCTCCCCCGACCTTCCCGACACCATCTATGTCTTAGCCCTCACCTACGACAGCGCTAGACTCTGGTGGTATTTCGGCTGTTACTTCTGTTTGCCCACACTTTTCACCATCACCTGCTCTCTAGTGACTGCAAGGAAAATCCGCAAAGCCGAGAAAGCCTGCACCCGGGGGAATAAGCGACAGATCCAGCTGGAAAGCCAAATGAACTGTACAGTCGTGGCTTTGACCATTTTATATGGATTTTGCATTATTCCTGAAAATATTTGCAACATCGTGACTGCTTACATGGCCACAGGGGTTTCCCAGCAGACAATGGACCTTCTTAACATCATCAGCCAGTTCCTTCTGTTCTTCAAGTCCTGTGTCACCCCTGTCCTCCTGTTCTGTCTCTGCAAACCCTTCAGTCGGGCCTTTATGGACTGCTGCTGCTGCTGCTGTGACGAGTGCATTCAGAAGTCGTCCACGGTGACCAGTGATGACAATGACAACGAATACACCACAGAACTGGAGCTCTCCCCTTTCAGCACCATACGCCGCGAAATGTCCACGTTTGCCTCTGTTGGAACTCATTGCTGAAGGAGTGAGCGCAGCCTTGGGTTGGCTTCGCTTTCTTTTTTTTTTGGTTGTTTGATTTTCATACCCTGTGAAAGTTTTTACTCCTATTTTTCCTTACTGGGAAAAAATGCAAAAGAAAAACAAAAAAGAAATATTAACTACTGGTAGAACTGATTTTGCAAATTAATATTTGTGCTTTGAAAAAGAAGTTTATATTTAGTTATTTAAGAAGTATGGGAGGCCCATAGTTTTAGATCATTTTATCTGGTATGGTGCTAATATTTTATTTGGAAAAAAAAGTGACTGCACCTTAATTAATTGCTAACTTACTTTCATTCTTTTAAAAAGTATAATCACTGTATATTGGTTATAGCCATGTGATTTTGTAGGCTCTTTTCTGTTTGAGTTGTGATTGAAAGTATATTGTATGTGGTTTTGTGAGATGAGTTGTAGTAAGAAGCATTCACCAAGTAGCACCAAATAAATGACACTTTATTCTTTAACCTCATTGTCAATCTACTTTTAACCAAGATTCAATAAATATTTTAATTGCCTTAAATACACAATTACTGGTTTTATGCACGATTTCAAATCGACCTTATTGTTTTATAAATTCTATTTTCCTTTAAGGCTTCTCTGATAGCTCAGTTGGTAAAGAATCCACCTGCAATGCAAGAGACCCCAGTTTGATACCTGCGTCGGAAAGATCCGCTGGAGGTGGGATAGGCTACCCATTCCAGTATTCTTGGGCTTCCCTTGTGACTCAGCTGGTAAAGAATTTGCCTGCAATGCAGGAGACTTGGATTCAATTCCTGGCTTGGGAGGGTCCCCTGGAAAAGGGAAAGGCTAGCCATTCCAGTATTCTGACCTAAAGAATTCCATGAACTGCATAGTCCATGGGCTTGCAAAATGTTGGGCATGACTGAGTGACTTTCACTCAGTTGACTATTTTCCTTTAAGGTGGGAAACCATTATGATACAAAGTTTTCCTAACAGTACTATTTATATGTGTGATTCATAAAACTACATTGTATGTTTCAAAAATGTATTTTTAATATTCAGATAGAGATGCAAATTACTTCCAAATATTTAAAAAATATGAGTAAATATACAGCAGAGTAGGAAGAAACTATCTTTAAAAAAAAAAAAATTCACCTCTTAACCAGCATATAGAGCTACAGGTTTTCCCATGAGGAATTATGAGTGGAACCAAAGATGAAAAAACAATGCATTTGTCATCTATTTCATCTAAACACTGACCTCTGAAGCACCATGAATTCTATGAAGTACTTTGAATTCTTATTTTTCTCCTTTTAAAAAATGAACTTGGTTTAATCTGTGACTTAATTCTTTAATAAATTACAGTATAGTGGAATAATAAAATATTTATACATCTTGATTAAAACACTTAAATATTCAAGTACTACCTTTAAATTGATATTCTGTAAACTCCCAACAGAAAAACTAGTCCTCTCCATTTGAATTATATGAATCCCTGAAGGAGTTCATGTAAAAGCAATTGTATAGGATGCCTGCCACGTGGGACACACCCCTAATCAGATGGCAGAGGCAGTGACCTAGGTGACTCAGTGTGATTTTCATGTTGCTGTCCTCAGAAAAATCATATAGGGGAACCCAACTTTCTGGCTGGAAACTGCCCTGTGTGTTTTCTGCTTGTCAATTTCTGTACTATTTAATATAACTGAGTAGCACATTTTTTCTTCCTGACTAAATGTTATTTAAATCATTAAACTAGTGCTAGAAAAATTAAAAGTACTTAATTCAGACCACTCGTTTTCTGCATGAAACCCAGAATAACTAGATGACAGTGCCCAGAATATCTCCTTTTCCCCAGTCCAGTACTCCTCAAAGGGATTCTCCCCTACTGCCTGTATTTCAAAGAACTTGAGGAGGAATAAAAACAAGGCAGCATTGTTCCTCTTACAGATCCCTGTAATAGGTCTTTGGAAATGAGGATGCCTTAACTAGGTTTTGGCTGCCGAGCAGATCAACAATTATCATTCCACAGTGTGTCTCATGATATTTAGTTGAAGAACTGACTTACTGGAAAAGACCTGATGCTGGAAAAGATTGAAGACAGGAGGAGAAGGGGACGACAGAGGATGAGATGGTAGGATGACATCACCGACTCAACAGACATGAGTTTGAGCAGACTCCTGGAGATGGTGAAGGACAGGGAAGCCTGGCGTGCTGCAGTGCATGGGGTTGCAAAGGGTCGGACATGACTAAACAACAGCAACAATAAATCAAGAAACTGATTGAGCACGTGGGATAGAAAAGATTCTGTGCTATGATCTGCAATAAATAAATGTAAATAAAGCTGAGTGTCAGACCTTATAAAAGCAGGTAGGGGTGGGCTGAGAAGAAAGGAGTAAGACACACATATAAACAGGTATGACACCCGCTGGGACTGGTGAGGAATGTGTAAAGTTCTAGGATAATTTAGAGAGAGCGCCTCAGATGAGAGGAAATCACAAATGGCTTAGGATGACTGGAGGGGTAGGCTTTCAGAAGGAGCTGATGAAAGGCAGTGGGAGAAGTGAACACTTTAGGAGGAGAGAGAGAACCGAGGAACAAGGCATCCCGGCCTGTGACTGAAGAACAGATAAACAGTCCAGTTAGGTTCCTATACTATGTGTCAACAGAAGCCTCATGGGAAATCCTGATGAAAATATGTGTTTAAAACATATCTTAAAAGGATAATAGCTTTACGGTTTTGGCATTCCAAATATTCTGTGTTCACCTGAGAGACCCTGCCCTCCTCCCCCCACCCACCCCATGTTGTTGCTCAGTCGTGTCCGGCTCTTCTGCGACCCTGTGGACTGTAGCCTGCCAGGCTCCTCTGTCCATTGGATTGCCCTGCCAGAAATGCAGGAGAAATTGCCATTTCCTTCTCCAGGGGATCTTCCCGACCCAGGGATCAAAGCCACACCTCCTGCACTGGCAGTATTCTTTGTCACTGAGCCACCGGGGAAGCCGCTCTTCCCCATCCTCATGTGAATACAATATGTACAGTAGCAGTGGGAAATGGGAGCTTCCTCTCCCCACATTCACACCAGTCCTGAACTAAACATTGTTTGGTAGGAGCTTGATTCCTCTGAGAAATACTTAAGATATTTCTATCAAGACATTTTATTCTCTGACCCTTCACCATCATTTAAAAAATGGATGGACTTTTCCCAGTTTTCAAGGATTCTCCAAGATAATACGTGGGGGTTTCTCCCTGGTAATTTGAATTCATCTTACATTTTAAAGTACTCTTTGATTACTTTGTGAGTTTGGCTTTCTCTGTTCTCTTTCTGGGCAGCATACCCCCAGTATACCTGATTATGGCTAACCCTCCTCATAAAGAAAGAGGAAGGAAAAATATTACAAGTTTCTATAATTTCAAACTCATGTTTTATGAGAGTTCTCTCCTTGTTTCTTGGGAGTAAGAAAATATATGCTGTATTTCTTGGTCCCTGTCTTTTAGTGAAAGCAAGTGAGAAGTATTTACTGAACCCCAGTTTGCTTTGATGCATTAAAAATTTAAATTTTTAAAAATTTTTTTAAAAAATTAAAAATTTGATGCATTAAAAGTGTTAGTTTTTGAATTCAAAGCAATCAGCATGGTACCTGTAATAGATTGGAATTACATTACTTCAGAGCTTAAAGTGATCTCAAAGTCTTAGAATATTAATTACTCAGCTCTTTCTTTGTATGTATAAAACTGATTTTCTGAGAAGTTAACCAAGTTATGCAAAATCACATAATTGGACCCTGGTTGAATATTGACTTAGTTTAAGAATTCTAAGAATAGATAGAAGACTTCCTTCCAGGGATTATAAATAATAATTCTTTTCAGCTTAACCAGTAGGCTCACAGCAATTTATGAAACACTCTTGATTAAGATATGGGACAGGATTATAAATAATAATTCTTTTCAACTTAACCAGTAGGCTCACAGAAATCTATGAAACACTCTTGATTAAGATAGGGGACAGTGAATGTTCAGTAACTACTTGCTCAATGAAACAATAAACAAATCCTTAAATGAAAGAACTCTCAGAAGACACAGTTTAGCAAAAATACGGGTGGAATACCATGACTGTGGTTAAGAAGCAGTGACATAGAAAAAAAAAACAAGAAAATATGGTTTTTGTGTAAATGTGTTCAGCACTAATCAAATGATGTAAATATGCCTGGTGTGTGTGTGTGTGTGTATATATATATATATATATATATATATATATATATGTTCTAGACAAAGTATAAAGACTGGGTGCTACAACTGACTCTTCAAGCCTCTCTATCCCAAATTTATTAAGTCCAGGTATCCTAAAATCCACTTTAGTTCTTTGCACATATTATGCTTTCAGTCATTCACTCCATTCATTCAGTTAAACACCTATCACTGACTTTGCGCAGTGGCAGCATCATAGCCAATGATGTGTATCTGTGGCACAATTATTGGTAATTGAAAACACCTAGATGCTAGACACTATGCTAAATCCCAGGGACAGAATAGTGTGTGATTTAGATACAATTCAGTCCCTTTTGGAGTTTGCATAGTGTGCGGTGCCTAAACATAAGATTATTCCCTACACATAGATTATTCCCTCTATTGAGTATTTAGTGAAACTGTGAGTAGTGCTGAAGAAGAAAAGTTCAGGAAGAGAAGTTCTCTGAGAGTTTGTTATAGGGGCTCCTGACCTAGTGATGGCGTCAGAGAAAATTCCCTTGGCGAAAAGCTCAGGGAGAGGAAGGAAGTGCATTAAGGCTCTGTATGGACACAGACAGGTTTCCAGGTGGTGCTAGTGGTAAGGAATCTGCCTGCCAAGGTAGGAGACACACAGATTTGATGCCTGGGTGGGGAACACACCCTGTGTAGGAAATGGCAACCCACTCCAGTATTCTTGCCTGAAAAATCCCAAGAACAGAGGAGCCTGGCGGGCTGCAGTCCGTGGAGTTGCAAAGAGTTGGACACCACTGAGCAACTGAGTGTGTGCACGCGCGCGCGC